GTGTTTACCTCCATTTTATTCCCCAAATAACAACCCCAAAACAGAAAATCACCCCCAGGTCCCTCAACAGGTGAGGGGACATCCATAGCATGGAACAGTCCCTGGAGTGGGGGGGCGTGGGGAGGCACAGTGGCTATGCTGTTCAACAACCTTGGTAAATGTCTAGGGAATTATCCAAAGTGGAAAAAAAAAAAAAAAAACAAGAACAAAACAACTCCCAAAAGGCATATACCACACGATTACATATGTATAATATTTTCGAAGTAACAAAATTATAAAAACGGAGAACGCCTTAGCGGCTACCAGGGGCCACAGAAGTGCATACACGGGTGTGGCTCTGAAAGGCAATATGAGGGATCCCTGAGGTGACAGCAATGTTCTGCACTTTGCAGCATCAGTGGCAATATCCTGAATGTGATGTCACAGCTATAATTCTGCAACAGACGACAAACTGGATGAAGGGTACCAGGGACCTGACTTCTGACAACTGTTAAAATCTACAACCATCTACAATCAATGAAAAGTTTAATTTAAAATGCATAAATTGGGGCGCTTGGGTGGCTCCGTCGGTTAAGCGTCCGACTTTGGCTCAGGTCACGATCTCACGGTTCGCGAGTTCGAGCCCCGTGTCGGGCTCTGTGCTGACCGCTCGGAGCCTGGAGCCTGCTTCGGATCCTATGTCTCCGTCTCTCTCTGCCCCTCCCCCACTCACACTCTGTCTTCCTCTCTCTCTCTCAAAAATAAACACTCAAAATTTTTAAATAAACAAATAAAAATAAAAACTACATAAATTAAAACACATTTTTAAAAGTCCAGGTATTGCAAAAATCGGGTGAAGATTCAATTAGCAAATGAGAAAATGAAATAACAGCCTAAGACAGAATGACTTCCTAATGGCATGTCCTACAGACAAGAGAGAAAGGTATTACGGCAACAGATGACATGTGCCAGCATGTGGCCTTCAGGGGACCTGCCCACCATGTAAAAAGTACGGGGCATGAGGACCTGACCACAGAGAGCACTCCTCAGGATGGACAGCCCGTTACTCTGACTGCCCCAAGAGGCACCAGCTTGGGCTGGTTTCCTAACCTGTGGTCGGTAGGGTCTCTGGCCCGTGGTCGGTAGGGCCTCTGGCCCTGTTTGGTAGGGCCTCTGGCCCGTGGTCCGTAGGGCCTCTGGCCCATGGTTGGTAGGCTCTCTGGCCCGTGGTCGGTAGGTTCTCTGGCCCGTGGTCCGTAGGGTCTCTGGCCCGTGGTCAGTAGGGTCTCTGGCAAAGAAGTCTGAGAAAGACCACATACTTCATCTCTTTCTCAGGCCTCTACGGCACCCACTGGTGTATTAGTGGCTCTGGTAGCCGTGCAGGAAAGACACTGGTTTGTCCTTGACACCCCAACTGCCAAGCGCATTTGACCACCAAGCGCCCGTCCTCCTGCACTCCCAACACTTCTGCTTCCATGTGAGCAGAGCCTGCCTCAGGAATCTGGGATCTGGTCAGCACTCCATCCTGCTGGAAAGGGGACACAGACCAGAAACAACTCTCCCGGGCCTCCTGGCGAACAGGGAACACAACCTCTCAACAAAGGCAGTGGACATGCGGGCACCAGAAGGGGTGGCATCGTCCGGGCCACCAAGAAGACAGTGTAGCGCCCCTTGGCTCCTCGCCTTCGGTCCCTGGTCGGGTGTGTATCGCGCGCTGGGCATGGCACCAAGCAGCACTGAGACATATCCTGGCTAATCTTCAAAGCAGCCATTTACAAACAGATCCTGTGAGAACACCTGTTTCATTAGAGAAAGGAACTGAGCTTAACAACGTTATAAAGTGGCTGGGCTGCCGTCTGAACCGGGTGTGACTCCAGGGGCCAGGTCCTTATCCACTGAGCCCTGTGCCTCCCTGGAGACAGGAGGATAAAGTTCAGGTACAGGTCATTAGAAACAGGTGGTGAGAAGAGACCTACTTAAGCGGTCCGGCTTTACCTGATATCCCCATCGCAAGGGAAGGAGTCAACTCACTGCCTGGCCGCTCTCCACCCTGTACGTGCTCCAGCCTCACTTTGGATGCTTCTCTGGCGTGTAAACACCTCCGGCTTCCAGGCATCGTCCTGTCCCCTTTGTCCGGAACGTGTCTCTACTCTCTTCCCTTGGCAACTCCTACTCAGACATCAAGAGTCGGCTTAGGCTTCCACACCTTCTAGTCCGAGTCTGGGGTCCCTCTGATGTGCCGTGACATTCCCCCACCCCCCACCCCGGTCATCCCGCTCCTAGCTCAAAGCACTGCCCACTGACACGTTTACCTCCCCAGCTGGACGGTGAGGCCTGGCTACGTGAAGTCCGGTACATACAATGCGTGTGGCACACCGACGTGCTCGGTAAGTCAGGAAATTACGTGCAACTCAGTCCGTCCACCAGATAAACGCAAGAGTCCCGATCTTTCTGACCATTGGGCGAAAGGGTGCAATCATTCAACGAGCCAGAAGATATTTTCTGTTTATTTTGATAATAATGGTGAAGCAGACAGGCTTTGAGGGAGGCGGATCTGGGTTCAAACCGCGGCTCTGTCGTTAACTAGCCGCACAATCTGAAGCCGCGTACGGAGCCTCTACGGATGTGAAGGGAGATGTAAAGAGTGCCCACCTCTCGGGGCTGCGACGGCTGATGCACCATGAAATGTTCAGCAGAGAGCCCAGCACCTGGTCAGTGTTCGGTGAATAGCAGCCATCACGACCACGAGAAGAAAGACCAAGATAAACCTTCTCCAGAAAACAAGCTACAGAGAGCATGAAGTCTCCAACGGTAAAAAGAGGGAACTAAGGAACGTAGAACACACTCCCGGCCTTATGAGGAAGGACACTAAGAACAAGAAACAAAACTCGAGATACACTGAAGCTACGAAGCCAACTCACCGGTTACCGATGTTAGCAGACTGACCGCCAGACAGAAGTCAGGAATGAAAACGGTAAAGAGATCCCCCCCAGTGTTTTCATGTACATAACTGAATTTCTCTAAATTCAGACACTCCAAAGTCAACCACGTCAAGGTCTGTCGCTGACCATCTTGCTCAAACTTGAATACTTCCATTAAGATTGTCAGACTCTATTTCTATTAATAATTCCTGCCCATGCATGTAAGGAACAGCTAAAACAAGTCTATACCAAGCTACCAGAAAGTATTTAAGTTCCTGACTTGGGGAGATAAATGCTTACAAAGACGTGTAATTTGGCTAGAATCTTAACTGGCTTACGTTAAGATCGGGGGGGGGGGGGGGTCTCCACATCAGGTACTTAATCATAACTGCTTGTAAAGGTGCCAATCTTGTCATCCTGGACACTTAAATTTGTCTTTGAAATTTTCACTTTGTAAATCTCACTCACGGCGTGCACTCATTCTCAACATGAACGGTATCCACACCAAATAATGCCAGACCTTTGTAGCAAGGACCACTGGACGACTACCCCTCAAATCCTATAAAGGGGGATCCGTCTTGTGAAGATGTACTTTAAAAGTATAAAACAACAAAGAGCAGAAACAAAATTTCTTCTCTCCACACTACCACCGCCCCCCACAAAGTACCACTATCCTACGACATTACGTAAAATACACCCTGAGGAAATGTACTCTTTTACTCTTGTTTTTAAGGAATTTTCTTCGGTTTCTTTACATAAGCAATCTCTACATCCAACGTGGGGCTTGAACTCATGACCCCAAGGTCAAAAGCCCCATGCTCTACCACCTGAGCCAGCCAGGCGCCCCAAAAAATTACTCTTCATTAAAGCAAAATAAGTCAGAATAATAGCCCCAACCATTTCTGCTATGGGTAACTCTAATTATGCAGGTTACATGAACACACTGGGTACCAGGGCCAAAGCCACCCAATCAAGTTTTCCCCCTTCAGCTTCTCTGCCATCCCAACTCATACACGTAGCCCACAGAGAAAGAGAAGTCATCCATCAAGAGCATAATCCTTCCATCTACAGGGAAGGTAGTTAGATATTCGAGAAGATTCTCAAGACAGATGTTATCAGGAAGACACTTCACGATCTTTCTGTGGCAACTTCAACCAATGAAACAGAATATTAAAAGTATTCTCTTTCCAATGACACATGGTTGGGATCTGTTTTCAAATACTCCAAGAGGTGTGGGGGGAACTGTGGTCGATAAACAAGACGGGTGAAACACAAAGAGACTACTGAAGCTGGATGAACACTCACAGGGTTCAACATACTAATCTCTACTTTTGCGTATGCTGGAGAATTTCCCATGATAAAAAGAGAAACAGAATATTCTCTCCGACAAAAACACAAACAACACGTATTCCCCCAAGGCTAAATCAAGGTTCCCCACAGTCTCAACCTAGAAGCCACTAGAATACCACAAAGGGCTCTTCGCTTCTCTAAAGGTACAGCCCAGTCACTGACAATGACCTCCCCACTCTGACCAGCACACGGTCCAGTCCCTGGGTCCCCGGCAGCAACCCCACACGCTGGGGGGACCCCAAGTTCAGTCTCAGTGCCACAAGCAGCTCCCTTCGAAATACCAAACATCCGTGTGAAATGACAGGTGTTTTCTTTCCAGTAACAGTGACTCAGACGTCACATCTGAGAACACTTACATAGTTCAACTAACATGACACAAATTTTTTAAACGCTTCCCTAAGTCCTCACAAATAAAATCACACAATCTGCCACAGCAAAGATAACTTTAAATAAGCTTCAGTTCACATCAAACTGAGTAATTGGAAAACAGGCTGTAGATGACCTCAATGTGGGTGACTGTGATAATTTTAAGAAATACAATTGTCAACACTGCAATCTCGAAACTGTAAATGCCCTACTGTTCAGTTTCAATGGCCAGATATTCCAATTAACCCAAGACAAAATGGCCCTCAGAACTTTCGAACTAAATGTGAATCACAGCACTTGAGTTGCCTGGAAATTAAGCAATCAAAACAATGAAGAGGAAAAACACTTTCACTTCCAAACGTTTTAAGAAACGAGAATACTTACCAGCACTTTGTTTTCAACTCTGTCTCCCTTAACTTCCAGCTTGACTTTCTTCTTCACTGCAATTTTTATCTTTCTGCCAATAACATCCTTTATGCTTTCTGGAAGGAGAGAATCGTTGCATTATAGTCTTTTATTGGTAAGAAAAAAAAGGCACTGGGGAGGAGAGAGCATTCGAAGGAGTATTTTTGTTTGTTCTTATTGTCGTTGTTTTTTAGCTTATTGTAACAAGGCTGACAGTTACCAGTCACCACGTATTTAATGAACACCTGCTATGTGCTTCATACTGGGGGCTCAGACGCTGAGCAAAGAGGAGGAACTGAGAGAGGAGGGGAGACTTCAAAATGGGCACGGTGGCAGGAAGGTCTTCCCGGGACTCCAGGGAGTACTCCAAACGGAACAGGTGCCAAAGCACACTCGTTCTCTTCCCCCACCCCTCCTCTGGCCACTGATGAAGCTAGAAATCTCTTAGCAACCCGACTGTCCATCCCTATCCATCCCACGCCCTTAGGACTTTGTAGGTATTATTCCCTTTCCTGAGATGCCCTTTCCCTCCTCTCCCGGTTAGTGTACCTCAAAATATAGCAACCTCCTCTATACTCCCATAGCTCTGTGTTCTACAGTATAATCGTATAGGCTTATTCATATATTCAATCCAAAATACATGTCCACAGGAATAGCTCCCGCGTGCCAAATGTTCTGTAGATGCAGGGATGGAGAGGGCCCTGCCTTCCACAGGTGCTTATGGTCTAGAGGCCGCAGACAGACGCCTCTAGAAAAATCTGCACTCGCTACCATGAGATCACAGACAAGGAGGTTCATGAAGGTTTCAGGGAGAAGGGGACTCCTGAGCCGAATCTTGAAAGAGTAGGAAAGACGCCACTGGTCCAAAGCAGGGTGTCCAGGGGCGCCTGGATGGTGCAGTCGGTTAAGCATCCGACTCTGGATCTCAGCTCGAGTCAGGATCTTATGGTTCGTGGATTCGAGCCCCGCGTCGGGCTCTGTGCTGACAGCTCAGAGCCTGCAGCCTGCCTCGAGTTCTGGGTCTCCCTCTCTCTCTCTGCTCCTCCCCGGCTTGTGTGCGTTCTCTCTCTCTCTCTCTCTCTCTCTCTCTCTCTCAAAAAATAAATAAAAACATTAAAAAAAAGAATTTAAAAAAATGCAATGTGTAATTCACTGAGGTGCAGTAAGAACACAGAAGTTTTATTTATCTTTGCAATGTTTCAGTTTATGTTTTTAAATTATACATGCTGGGGGTGCCTGGGTGGCTCACTCGGGGAAGCGTCCGACTCTTGGTTTTGACTCAGGTCATGATCTGCAGTTTCATGAGTTAAAGGCCCAAGTCGGGCTCTGCACTGGCAGCAAGGACCTGCCTGGGATTCTCTCCTTCGCTCTCTGCCCCTCCCCCACTCACGCTGTCTCTCTCTCTCTCTCTCTCTCTCTCTCTCAAAATAAATAAACTTTAAATTATACATGCTAAATGAAGTATGTATGTAGCTTCATAAATAAATGTTTGTGAAGGGGTAATCAAATATCCTTATTGGAAACCCACCACAAAAGTTTAGAGCCACCAAGTTAGATAGGAGCAAAGAAGGGGACCAGTTGCCTGGGTGGCTCAGTCGGTTGAGCATCTGACTTGGACTCAGGTCATGATCTTGAGGTTCATGGGTTCAAGCCCCATATCAGGCTCTCTGCTGTCTGCGCAGAGCCCATCTCGGGTCCTCTGTCCCCCCTGTCTCTGCCCCTCCCCTGCTTGCAACTCTCTCAAAAATAAGTAAATCTTTTTTTTTATTTATTTTTTTTTTTTAAAAAAAGAGGAAAAACAAGGGAAAATGCAGCTTGTTCAGGGACTGACAAGGAGGAGCTGGGATGTTACGGAGGAAAGGGGACAAGTGGGGAAGTTCTCTGCCCTGGGAGCTCTCCAGCCAGCTTTGGGTATGATCAGACTTCTTCCCCCCACCCCCACCCCCCCACAAGAGGCCTGTGGGAGAGGAGTGTCACAAATGGACTTCAGAACAGAAGGAGACTGGAAAGTTAGATCCCAAAAGGTCAGAAGCAGCCACCTCGGAGAGGCAACACGGCCGAGGACAGTCTTCTCTTCCTTGTCAGCGTTTCAATTTTTTTTATAACAAGCCCGTATTTCTTTCATAATCAGAGAGATACACAGTACATTTTTTAAACACCTTCGGGGATTAGCTTAAGGGAATTAGCTGAGGTTTTTCACACAGTTGCCATTTTGATTCGATGGCAATGGAAGTCTCAGCACTTGCAATGAGAGGAAAGCAGTGCTTCTTCCTAGGAATTTCCCCCATCCCAGACGAATGGGGCCGTATACAGGCCCAGAAAATTCATACTGGGCATGTCACAAAAGTATGTGTCACTTGGTTGAAAGACATGTGAGCGGGGCAAGACTCAATAAGCACACATTCCACTTCTAGATAAGGATGAAATCAACTTTGAAAACATACCAAAGGATTTATTTTGAGAACCATCAACATAAACCAGGTATCTTATTTCCATCCCTTTTCTCTCTCTCTCTCTCTCTCTCTCTCTCTCTCTCTCTCTCGTCTAAGTAACTACCTAACCTTTTCATTACCAGGCTCAAGGACAACTAACTCACAAATCCACCAACCTCTTTAGCTGCCCTTGTCCCCTGGCCAAGGAGGCCAGCCCTCCCCCAAACTTTCTCAGGACCTCTGCAGGCATCTTCAGAGACTTGTGGGCAATGGTTTTCTCCTCCCAGAGGGGTGCTGGGAAGATCCCAGCCTCCCAGAACCGGATGGGCCACTCGCTCCGGCAAAGGCAGCTGATGCTTTATCTCAGGAGCCGACTCCACAGGGTTGGGGAGAGAGGAGAGGCCAGAGTGGGGGAAGGGCCCGGTAACTTCAGGTCCTAAGTCTGGGTAAAAAATTACGTTTGCGTTTTGAGGTTTGTTTGGTTTTTTTTTTTTTTCTAATTCAACAAAAGCAGAAGCATCCATACAAACCTAGCAACAGCTCCTTCCCATCGTTTTCACCTGCTGAGTTAAGTGAGCAATGGAAAAGCACAGAAACTCCTCCAAAGTATTAAGGCTAAAAGGAGTCACAGAGGGGCGAGTTTCTCAAATGCACATGAACAGGCAGGCACAACTTCCTCCTGCTGTCAGCACCCGTTAAACAGCATCCTTCCCTGCAGTGCGCCAAGGATGGTTCAGTCAGGAGCACAGGCCACAGGGGCTCAAAACGCGCAGACACACACACCTGGTTCAAACACAACACGCTACACACACACACACACACACACACACACACACACACACGCTTAAACGGTGCGTTTTCAAAAACACTCTGTCTCACCTCAGTTTAGTTCTGCCATTTTAACCCTCCACATAATTAAGTTAAACCCCAAGAGGTGGAACCCAGCCCAAAGCCCCCCCACCCCCTCGCCGATCAAAAAAAAAAAAAAAAAAAAAAAAGAAAAAAAAAAAAAAAACAAAAACACTCAAGGGACCCAAACAATAGGTCACCTTGCACAGGGCACTACACACAGGTTCCCAGGGCTCCCGGATGGGCAGAATCGGTAGGTTAACTATTATGAAAATAAGCTGGAGTCATTAACCCTCAGTTTCCCGGCCCGCGTTTGCGTCAGTCCTGTAACCCCTTCGCTGCCGCTGGGCTGGGCGAAGCCACGCCTCGCCGGGCTCGGGGCGCACCCCAGAGCAGCGCCCCCTCCCCGCGTGTGCGTGTGGCGGGGGGTGGGGGGAGGGGTGCTCCAGTGGGGGGTGCCCGGCAGGTGCCGGAGGTGACCCCGCCGTGCGCTCGCCCCCCGCCCCCCGTGCTGGCCCTTCCCGGACTTCCCCGAGTTTGGGGCAGTGGGCTGGTGGCCGTCAGGGGTGCTCCTCGCTTCCAGGACTCCCCAGCCCGCGCGGCCCGCCCCCGCCCCGCTTCCGCCGACCTCGACCCCCACCCCCACCGGCCGCGGCTGGGGAGGCGCCCCGGGGCTCCGGGGGCCCCCGCCGCTGCCCACGGCCGCCCTCCCCGGACTCGGCTTCCCGGGCGGCGAGACGCGAGCAAAGTTGCCGGCGCCCCGCCCAGC